TTTTTTTTTTTCAGAATTGGGAATTGAACTCAGGCCCTTGTGCTTGCCAGGCAAGCGCTCATTCTACTGAGCCATCTCCCCAGCCTCCCCCCCCCAAAAAAAAAAAAAAGAAAGAAAAAATCTAAGGTAGTTTCTAATATAGTTTGTGCTTCTGGTCTTTTGCCATCTTTCTATTAAATTTGCCATTTTCTTATTTAAAAGAAAGTCCCTTGAACTTTTGAACAACACCTGCACCTCCTGATTTAACAACAGACATTGAGATTATTTGATAATTTACCGAAAATTCACATCATCATGTAGTTGTACTTAATCTCCCTTCTTAAGGGCACTTACATGATAAAATTGAAATACTCTCCTGTGTAACAATTGAATAAGTACACAATATGGCTTATATTTTATAATCACTTTTTAGTAGCAGATTTATCATTAAGAAAACACCCTTCATATGTACTGTTACACACACACACACACACACATATATATATATATCACCCATGTCAGTAGTACAGAATTTGATAAATTAACTATCCATTTTCTTTAGTCTTTTTAATAACCCAGTGAGGTGTGCCTGTTTTCTTATGTTATCTCCTTTGCTGTAAGGAAACAGGTACACTTTGAGTATTTAACTGGTAGAATTTGTCTTTTGTTTCACTTTTTTGGCTAGCATGTATTCAGAAGCTGGAATTGGGTCTTTTGCCATCTTTCTATTAAATTCATTAAATTAGTTTGGTATTCCAAATCTTAGTTGAGTATTACTAGGGCTCTGAGAGTGACTATTCCAAGTGCTTTTCTTGTTTTGCTATCTTACAGGCCCTGGCCTATTTTGAGCAGTTGAAGATTTCCCCAGATGCTTGGCAGGTGTGTGCAGAAGCTCTAGCCCAGAGGACATACAGGTAATTAAAATAAAATTTAATTTTTAAAAAAATCTTTTATATATTTCTTTTGTACAGGGTCTCACTACGCAGCTCAGACTCATAGTGATCCTCCGTCTCAGCCTCCCCCTAACTTACCCTTTACAGGTGTGTGCCACCATGCTTGGTTTCGGTGATTAGAACAGCTTGCCCAGGGTTCCAGGACCATCTACCAGGGATTGAACCTGGGTCCTTGCTCTTGCCAAGCAGGCACTTAGACCGCCAAGCTGTCTCCCCAGCCCTAAAAAAAAAATTATATAACATCTAAAAGAATTGTAAGTTTCTGTGAACATGGTAGGACAGTTAAATTTACCTATATTTGGAAAGCATTACCAGAAAAGCATCTTGTGACTTGTCCTTTACCTTAATATATGTCCTCTACCGGGCCAAAGAGCTTGGCAACCTAAGCGGCTGCCTGGCAAGTGTAAGTACCCAAGTTTGATCCCTGGTACTGCATGCTGTATGGGCCCTGTGCCAAGCCGCCCACCGAAACTGGATGTGGTGTTACACACTGTGATCCCAGCACTGGGGAGGCTGAGACAGGAAGATCACTATGAATCTGAGCTATGTAGCAAGACCCTGTACTAAATAAATAAATAGATTAAAAAATAAATTTTAAAAAATATGTCCTTTACCTTAGTGTGTGTACATTTGTTATAGATTTGAGAAAAAATACTAATCAATAATTGATTGGTATTTGGGCCATTCCAGAGTTGACTTTTTAGTAAAGCTATCCTTTGCCATGTATGTAAATATGGTCAACTTTATTTTTTTTTAATTTTTTATTTTGGTGGAACTGGGGATTGGACTCAGGCCCTTGCGCTTGCCAGGTAAGCGCTTATTCTACTGAGCCATCTCCCCGGCCCTTATCTATGTAAATATGGAAACATTCAGGTACCATTCTTTTGCTGTTGGACTACTGTCCTGTCATTAGCATTTGCTTTGTTCGTGCTTGCTGAGCACACCTATAAGCTGTGCTCTTCCAATTCCAGTATGAATGTCTAGTGGAGCGAGGGACAGTGGATGCAGATTTAGATATTTGTTCCCAGCTCTCAAGTCTGATTATATCTGAAGAAGGTCCCCACACCCCATCACTGGCAGTTTGACTTTATAAAACTTGGTGTAATTAAGCTGTGGGAATCGCAGTGACCAGCTAGCAGTCCACACACCTCAGAGGTGGGAGCAAAGGTGCATGGTGGGCTGCAGTTGGTGGAAACCTGTGACTCTCATGCTCCTTGATAGCTGGAACTCATTGCTTGAATGTAGTGAAAGTTGATTTCATAAATGGCTGGGTCTTACGGCTGGTGTTTAATAAAAAGCTTTCCTGTAGTTGATTTCTTTCTTTTTCTTTTTTTTTTTTTTTTGTAGTTGATTTCTTGAGTACAAGATCTTTGAAAAAGTTTTTTTTAGTTTATTCATTATTTTGGTGGTACTATGGATTGAATCTAGGACCTCACATATGCGCGACAAGTACCCTGCTCTTGAGCTATATACCTAGCCCCTCTTTTTTTTTATTTTAAGACATGATCTTGATGATTTGCTCAAGTTAGCCTTAAACTTGTGATCCTCCTGCCTCAGCCTCTCTTGTAGCTGGGTTTATAGATGTCACCACCATGTTTGCCTGAAAATCAAAGTGTTATATAATTTTCTTAAAGCGGAAGGATAATCTACCCAGCCCATTCTTGGCTGAATCAAGATAATTCAGCCTTAGAAATGTTTTTGTTGTTGTTGATTTTTTTTTTTTTTTTTACAGAATCAGGGATTAGAACTCAGGCACTTGCTCTTGCCAGGGAAGCGCTTATTCCACTGAGCCATCTCCCCGGCCTTAGGATAATTTATAATAAAAAAGAAACCTAAAATCTGAAAGAGATTAACCCTAACTTTATATATTTATTTATTTTGGTGGAAACTGGGGATTGAACTTGGGCCCTTGCACTTGCCAGGGAAGTGTTTATTCTACTAAGCCGTCTCCCCGACCCTTAACCCTAACTTTAAAAAAAATGTTTAAATACTACTTTCATCTACTTAGTGTGAAATTATTTTATTAGGTCAATTCATATAGCCTAATTAAGATGAAATTTCTATGCTTGCTTGGACCTGTGACTTTAATTTTTAGGAACAATTATTCTATGACCAAGCCTAATCTAAACCAATTACCTTAAATGAACAGATTGTTAAACTTCAAAGGGACTTTGTCAGAGTTTATACCTGGCTCACTATACCACCACTAGAGAAAAAGTTGGAAGTGGCTAATTGGAATTAATTCTTAGTCCTATCATATAAGAGGAATATGCAGTTTCACTTCCTGTATGAACTTAGAGGTAAGACTCACAGTCCATGTAACTCTTGTGATTTTGGATTTGCCTGCAGTATAAAGTTGAATTTTCAGTAGGACTTGGATGGCCATCTTTGATTTGAATCAGATTCTCGCTGTTATACCCTTTGTTATTTTGTACCCAGCCTTTCTTTTGTAAAAAGTAGAAAGTGTTCCAGGAATCCTGACATTTAGAACTCAAGGGGCGGCATGTGTTCAGTTTGCAGCCCACTGTATTTAAGGTACATCTTTAATTTTTTGGTTATTTTGCTTACCAGATTCAAAAGAAAATATTGTGTGGTGTATATAATACTTAGAGGTCTGTTAGTTCATATAAACAAATAGATTTCAGTGTTACAAAATGAGATTGGCAAGTAGAAAACAAGTCCACTCCAAAAGTCTAGTTTGAGAGACTTCTTATACTCATTAATATTTTGCTCTTGTTCTTCTCCAGTTCATATTGTGATTATCTAATTTTCTTTTTTGTTTTTTTCAGTGATGATCACATAAAATTTTTCTGCTTTCAAGTATTAGAACATCAAGTTAAATACAAGTAAGGCTTTCCTTAATTTTGACTCAGTTGTGGGGAGAAACTTTTTTTTCCTTTCTCAAGGAAATCATAATAGAGGTTGTAAACTGGCAATGTGTAAGTTCCAGCCAGAGTATAGATGTGTTTTATTTATCGCAAACTGAGTTAGTTGTTTACATATAAAATTACAGACATTAAAAATCTAGATTTCCAACTTCTCTGGGAAAGCCACAAGATGTAGCAACAGTAGACCTGCTTTCAGAGGCCCGGGAAATGGCTCAGTAGAATAAAGGCAAGCACAAGGGCCTGAGTTCAATCCCCAGTTCCGCAAAACAGACAAACAAACAAACTGTAGACCTGCTTTCTGCATGACTGCCCTCTGACAGCTGAGTGGCGACACATATACTCAGAACCCCTACTTTAATACTAAGGAAAACAAAAGCTGGTTAGCTGATTTATTCTGTAGACCAGAGACCTCAGAGCGTGGATACATTGCTGTTTTAAGTGTTATTTTGTTTCAACATTAACCAAGTGCAATTCAAAGCTTGCTAGTGATGCCCTGTGGCTGCTCTCATTGCTGCCTCTTCATTATAGCACTGTTAAGAGAACTTAGCAATTTAATTTAGGAGACGTGAGATAGCTGTGCGCTGAACAGACTTTCAAATATATGAGACTGTTCCTTTTCAAAACATAGACACCAAATACAGCCTCTATTTTTTTCTGCTTTATTTTGAACAGATATTCAGAACTAACCACTGTTCAACAACAACTAATTAGGGAGACACTCATATCTTGGCTTCAAGCTCAGGTAAAATAGTTAATTTCATTTAGTACCTCAAATGATCACATATTTAATACTTTATATTAAAAGTACCTGCTTTTGAAGATCATGGGCAGAAGGAAATTGAGCAAAAGTTTTAAATGATGCCAATAACCAAAACATATACTTTCCATGATGTTGAAATCTGGGTTTAAATAATTTATTAGCATCTTTTACGCCTTGACAAAAGCTGGTTTTCTATTTGGCTTGTAAAGGTGAGCCTTCCTGGACAGCTTTAAAAGGGCGCTTTTCAAAGAGCCCATAGAGCTTTGTATTTATGTACTGTTTGTTTAAGTATAGCTAATTTTAACGTACAAATCAGTTTTGTAACTAGAGTCTTATTTCCCTTAAAGAGCAAGGAAATTACACACAGTACTAAAACTTTGTGCCTGAAACTTTTCTCACAGGTGTAAAAATAAGCATCCCTTAGCACCATAATGAGATTGTTATCCACTTTCCCAGTCATTTGAATGCTTGGATAATTTTTGCTCAACTTTGTGACACTACTAATCTGGACCTTGTTGAAGTTTAAGGAAGTTCTGCCTACTCACAATATGTAGAAAAACTTTCAGTTTTTTCAATTTGAATGTGATTGGGCTTTTTCTGTCTGTCAGATGCTGAGTCTCCAACCAGAGAAGACCTTTATACGAAATAAAGCAGCCCAGGTCTTCGCCTTGCTTTTTGTTACAGAATATCTCACTAAGTGGCCCAAGTTTTTTTTCGACATTCTCTCAGTAGTGGACCTAAATCCAAGGGGAGTAGATCTGTACGTCCGAATCCTCATGGCTATCGATTCTGAGTTGGTGGATCGTGATGTGGTTCACACATCAGAGGCAAGTATCTTCCCGTTGATGTGTAGTGTTTAATGCACATATTATGGGAGAAAATGAGCACAAAATCTGTTTTGTTTCAGACAAACAAGTTTCAAGGACAGATGTAAATTTAATAGCATTTTGAATTTTATTGAAAAATAAACTTGATTTTTTTTTTCAGACGTAGCTTGAAATTTGAATATTGTATTAGATTTTTTTAATCTAGGAAAAACTTTTCACCACTGAAACACAAGTGTTTACTTTCTCCCATGAATTTGCTGAGATATACAGCATTTATTCAGTATTGCTATAAAGTCCCCCAGCAAGGAAAAGACATGCTTAGGAATTGTCATTGCTGATTACCTTCAATGCCCAATACCTTTGTCTTTCTCAGTTTCTTTAATAGCCTGTATAACTTGCAATTTTGGGTTCAGTTGGTTAATTGGGGCGGGGGTGGGTAAGATAGGGTCTCATTCTGGGTCAGACTGGCTTTAAACTTGTTATACAGCCTATGCTGGCCCCAAACTTGCAGTCCTCTTGCCTCATCCTCCTAAGTGCTGGGATTGCAGCGTGTGCTACTATGCCCAGCACGCCTGCTTCCCCGCGCCCCACCTCCCGATACCAGGGATCAAACTCAGGACCTTGCGCTTGCAAGGCAGGCACTTATGCTACTGAGCTATCTCCCAGCCCTTCTGCCTTGTTTGTAAAGGACACAATAGAAATAGCTTCAAATGTATATGGTAATTGAAGGTCATTGTAACTAAAATATTTATAACTTCAAAAGGTCGTACACATTTAAACTATCATTTCTAAATGGTTTAGGTGAAATATTTACCTAGTATTAAGAAATGCATTCCTTAAGATTTTTTTTTCAAATTTATACACTTTTTAGGTATAATTAACATACAATAAGCCACATTGATTAAGATTTTAAAGCAATGCTTGTTTCATAGTTTATATTTAATAAGAAATTAAGTTTGGCGCAGAGGAGTAGAACGGAAAGAGGAAATGAAAAGAATCACAGGATGTGACTTTACACCTGGTAAATAGGAAACCAAAGCAGAGACTGCCTTAACACGTCGGGAACTTTAATATGGAGGAAATGATTGTCTGAAACTATATTCTGATGTCAAATGTTATTTTATAATCTACTTTGTTTTTTAGGAAGCTCGTAGGAATACGCTGATAAAAGATACCATGAGGGAACAGTGCATTCCAAATTTGGTGGAATCATGGTACCAAATCTTACAAAGCTATCAGTATACTAATTCAGAAGTGACATGTCAGTGCCTTGAAGTAGTTGGGGCTTACGTCTCTTGGATAGACTTATCCCTTATAGCCAATGATAGGTATGTGTGCCTATAATCATTAAGTCAGGTGTCAAAAGTATAGCATCTAAGACTTACGAGTTTGGAAATGCTGAAACAGTTTTATTCCCCCATGACCAGGTTTATAAATATGCTGCTAGGTCACATGTCAATAGAAGTTCTACGGGAAGAAGCATGTGACTGTTTATTTGAAATTGTAAATAAAGGAATGGACCCTGTTGATAAAATGAAGCTAGTAGAATCTTTGTGTCAAGTGTTACAGACTGCTGGGTTTTTCAGTATTGACCAGGTAAGTAAATTTATGTAAGATTTTGAAAATTGTTAGAATGAATGACAAGAAATAGAAAGTTAGGTATTGCTTTTTTAATTGTCTCTGAATATTGGAAATTCATAGTTATAATAAACTATCTTACCTGGAGAGACTTAACCTTATGTAGCACTTACCTTGCATGCACAGAAGATTGTGCTAGGTCTGAATGGTGTGTTCAGCTGTGAATTTTTGTGGTTTTTCTTTGATTTTTTTTTTTTATATTGGTGTGTGTGTATGTGTGTCTGTGTGTTGTGTGTCTGTGTGTATGTGTGTTAGTGAAGTGTGAACCCAGGGAGCAACGAACTATATCCCTGGTCCTTTTTTTTTAAAACTTGGGAATGAGGTCTTACAAAGGTGCTGAGGCTGACCTCAGAGTTGGCTCCTCCTGCCTTAGCATCCCAGGTGGCTGAGATTACAGTCATGTACTGTATTTATATAATTCTTGCAAACTACTAGCTTTGACACTGCTGGTCCATAGGCTATATATTGAGAAGAAAGGAACTGTACCAATTACATGAAGGTGCATTTTGACCAAAATAAAATCCAATAAGCATAAAAATTGCATTTTTGTCATATATTTGAATTTTAATTTATTTGCATTTATAAGAGTTTAGTCCCAAGAAAGGAGGAGTAAATTAGTAACTTAGATAATTACTAAGGTGCGGGTGTATGTGTTGCTGAGAATCAGACCCAGGGCTTTAAGCGTGCTGGTGAGTGCTGTGCTGTGGAACCATAGCCTCAGCCCCTGAAGGCTGGTCAAGTTTTAGCAGTGACAGAGAGTAAAGGAATTTCTACAGCACCTTTGTATAGGTGTTGTAGCTATAGTGTGGCACGAGTGTTTCTCTTCCTTCCTCACAGACCCATAGTAACATTTTGTACCTTTCTTCTAATTGTCTTATTCTCTGGTTAAAAAAACAGTCTGAAAGGGTGCAGAGTAGAGCCTTTCTTTTTTTTTCTTCTTAATGCGTTTGGTACGGGGTCTTACTACGCAGTTCGGACTCGTAGTGATCCTCCTGTTTTCAGCCTCCACCACACGGGGATGCACCACTGGCATGCACCACCACTCCAGGTCTCTGTGGCCAGCTCAGTGCACCCAGGGATGGGGCCAGTGTGACATAGTGCCAGGGACTGAACCCCGCTCCCTGAGCTTGCCTAAACAGGCGCTTAGTCTGCTGAGCTATGTCGCTGGCCCCTAGAGTCTCTTTCTATGGACAGTGTTGGCAGATTTTTTAGGACTTTGAATGGTAACAACTGCCACAACACATACACCTTAGGTTTGCCACCACTGCTGCAGGAGAACACAGTATACGGGTAGAGTAAACTTGAGCCCTGGCTTTAACACTGATGAAGAACCTGACCCTGGTTATTGCCAACAGCATTTTTGTGTCCTCATTGGATAGTTAAGGCCTAAATCAATAGCATTAGAAAGGACTCTTGTGAATTTTTTTTTTTTTTTTTTTTTTGAACCAGGGATTGAACTCAGGCCCTTCTGCTTGCCAGGCAAGTGCTTATTCTACTGAGCTATCTCCCTGACCCCCTCTTGTGTATTTTTTTTTTTAATTTTTATTTATGTGTGTGTGTGTGTGTGTGTGTGTGTGTGACCAGCTCAGCCCACCATGGGGCAGGGCTGGCTGGCATGTGGTGCTGGGGGATTGAACCGGGGTCCCTGTGCTTTGCTAAGCTTGTTCTAAGTAGGTGCTTTAGACCACTGAGCCATCTCACCAGCCCCTACTCTTGTGTATTGTTAAACATATTGCAGTGTGGTGGCGTCTCTGTATGGGACATATTTGCTAAACTCCATTCAGGAAGGAGTAAGTTCTGAAATAACTATTCTCTTTCTTTTTAAGCTTTTATAAAGCTGGTAATGTCTGCGGGATTGTAAAGCTGTAAAAATAGTTGGTTTAAAGAGTACTAGTGGGTGCTGTTAAGTTGAGCTGTGGGGGACTCAGGTCAGTAATTTCTGACATTGCCAGTTAAACAGAAGACCCAATGCTATTATGGGCTACTGGACTCTTTTAGAATATTTTGCTGAGTTTACACACCTATAATATTCAATAATGGAACTTAGAAAAAATGGGGTATACAGAGGAATGTCCATTTTTTAAAATATTTATTTATTTTTATTTATTACATTTATTTATTGTGTGTGTGTGTGGCCAGCTCAGCCCACCAGGGGGCGGGTCTGGCTGGCATGTGGTGCTGGGGATCGAACTGCGGTCCCTGTGCTTTGCCAAGCTTGTTTCAAGTAGGTGCTTTAGACCACTGAGCCATCTCTCCAGCCCCTGAATGTCCATTTTGTATCTGTGTATTCAAAGTGGTTGGGATAGATATATAGTTACATTCTGTTAATGAATAGAATGATTTGTTCTAATGGTGTTTGTAAATAGGATCACAAGTCCGCATCTTGTACAGCAATTAACCACTAAGAAGAATATATGCAGTGTATTATTTGTTGAAACTGTACTTCCGATTTGATTTGAAACTGTCTCATTGCTATCTGTTTATCAATAAAACTTTGAAAAAAATAAAAAATTAAAAAAATTAAAAAAAGAGTACTAGTGGGTAATAATGATCTCAGAATTCCTCAGGTTTTTAAAATTCCCTAGTTACAATGGCTCAGTTGTTAAATGTTTATTGTCAGCTCTAAAGGAACCCTATAACTGGATTCATACCAATATTTACAGTTTCTCTTCTTACGCTTGGGGTAGGCTGTCATAAGTTGAAGTTTGTCTTGATTGCTTATAGGAAGAAGACGTGGACTTCCTGGCCAGATTTTCTAAGCTGGTTAATGGAATGGGACAGTCACTGATAGTTAGCTGGACTAAATTAATTAAGAGTGGGGATATTAAGAATGCTCAAGAGGCACTACAAGCTATTGAAACAAAAGTGGCACTTATGTTGCAGCTGCTCATTCATGAGGATGATGACATCTCCTCTAACATAATTGGGTTTTGTTACGATTATCTTCATATTTTGAAACAGGTAAGTCTTGTTATATTCTTTTATCCAGTAGCTAATGTGAAAGGGCCATGAAAAATTGGAAGATATGAGGAAAATGAAGTAAGACAATACCTGTATCCTGTTACCCAGTGATATTTAATTACTAATGTATTCTCTTGACTTGTTTTGTTTGTAGTACTAGGTATTGAACCCTAGGCCTTCTCAGTAGGCTGTATCCCCTTTTTTTCATTTTGAAGCAGAAACAGGAATTTGTCCAGGCCAACATTGAATTTGTGAGCCTTTGTTTCCTCAGCCCTCAAGAATACTGAGGTTCTGAGCATGTGCCACCATACCTGGCAATCGGTTTTTGGTTTTAAATAATTCTTCTTAGCCAGAAAAGGAGAGTTAAAATTTACTAGAGCAACAAGCTTAGTTAGCACTGTAGCTTTATTGTAGCATGCTAGTCTTAGGTTTATTTGCTTGGGTTCTTGTTTTTGGTGGGGTTTGTTTTTGGCTTCATAGTTCAGGCTGCCTTGAATTTGGAGCAAGCCTCCTGTCTCAGCCTTCTGAGTACTGGAATTACAGGAATATGCTGCCATGCCTGGCTTCTTTTCCATTTTGAACCTGTATCTCTACATTTGAAATTTTGTTAAATAAGAGTATCTTGTTTTTATATTTTTATAATTTCTTATAAACCATTTTTCTCAATTTTCTTAGCTATTTGCCATTATAACTTAAAATATAAGTGACATTAGTCTCCATATTGTAGCTTTTGAAAAATTAGTTACTTGTCATTATGACATTAAAGAGAAATCCATTTCAGTCTTATTCATGTTGGGTTAATTGAATCAAATTTTTTTCTCAAAGGAGTTTAACTTCATTTATTATTAATAAATATAAGATATCTCTGCCTGTGTATATTAAGAAATTTTGGGGGCTGGTGAGATGGCTCAGTGGTCTAAAGCACCTACTTAGAACAAGCTTAGCAAAGCA